GTGGATCCACATTCAAGGTATTTATTATTATAATGGTATAAATATGATTTTTTTTACTTAATCAAGAAGTATTATACTTTTGAGCCTAGAAAAAAAATGGTTTCATATTTCTAGACATTTTGTTTTCCTAGGACTACCTTGATTTTTAAAAAATCTCTCCATACCTGATAACATGACTGGGTCTTTAAAACACCTGGCAATATAATTTTCTATAAGGTCAAACCTGTTGAATAATTTTTAGCTCTGCTTTTATTTTTTATGTTTCTGTAGACATCCCCCAAGGAGCCCTTGCCTGCTGCGTTCTGAGCAGGTTGCTCATGGTCTTCTGCATAGATGGCTACTGCCTTGGGACTTCCTTCACCATCCTTTTGAGAACTCTCCTATGTTGAAGCTCTTAATTTCTGGATCCCATTTATTCCCCTTTCTTGTTTTCTGCTTTATTTTTGTGGAGTGCATCCTTGAGTAGCTTCATGGAAGTGGTGCATGAGAAAGAAAATTTTTAAGGATGCATGAATCTATTTTACTATCACAACTAATTGATTTTGCTGAGCATAAAATATAGGGTGAAAAATCTTTTTGCGGGGCTAGGGATGTGGCTCAAGCAGTAGCGCACTTGCCTGGCAGGCGTGTGGCCCGGGTTCGGTCCTCAGCACCACATACAAACAAAGATGTTGTGTCCACCGAAAATTTAAAAATAAATATTAAAATTCTCTCTCTCTGTCTCTCTCTCTCTAAAAAAAATCTTTTTGAGTATTCAGAATTTTGAAGGCCTCTAATCTTGCAGCTTCAGATGCTGCTGTTGGGAATTCTGGTACCATCTTTATTCCTCTTTAGTTTTATATGTATTTGCTTTACTACTTGTTTCTTCATTAGTAGCTTTTAGTATATTCCCTTTATTTCTGATGTTTTGAAGTTTCATAATGACATGCCGTGCTCTTTTGTTAGCATTTTGGAGACTTAAACCTTTCAGATATGGGAAATGATCTTATGGTTTTTTATCTGGCACATCCCCCACCCCCCAAGATTCTTCTTGATTTTTTTTCTCACTGCTTTTCTTTCTTTTATCCTGTTGTCTATTTCTGTGATTACTTTTTTTTTGTGAGATGTTTTCCAATTTTCTCTTTATAGCTTTTAAAAATTTTAACCTTTCCAATCCTAATTTCCAAGAATCCTTTCCTGTTTATTGCTTTCTCTTTCTCTGTTCTTGTTTTATGTAGGCAAGATGTTCTTTCTGGAGACATGAAGTACAGTTTATCTGAAATTTTCTTCTATCCTCAGTTACATTTTTGTTTGTTTATTTATTTATTTAGTTAGTTAGTTATAAGCTTGACTGCATAGTTTTCTGGCTGAGTTGGGGGAGGGAGCTGGTGCATTTTACTCTCAATTTGCTGATAATCCCTGAGACCCTCATAGATTCCCTGCCTTCCTCTGTGCCTAGTACACCCAAATCCAGAGCCTCTTTGGTTTGCTTTTTATTAGAAAAATTAAAAAAGAATTTAGATTCTTTGTGGAGTGAGGGTTAGGATGTAGGGCTCTAATTGTTTTCTTACATGCCTTAGAAAGCAATCCCCTGTTTCAGTCCCAGGTCACCTTCGAAGACACCTTGAAATGTAAGTTCTGAGCTTTTCTATAGTTTAGGTGGCTTGCTTCTCCACCTAACCTCTTGCTGCTTAGAGGTTTGCATCCCTTCTCTTCTGGAGCCATCCAGGATTCCTCCATTTGATCTCAGATATTCATGTGCTGTAATTTAGGAATTATAAATGCCTTCTATTTTTTACCAGAGTTTAAGGTTCTATTTCTATATCTTTTTTTCTTTGGGAGGAAACTCGAGAAAAGAACATGGAAAAAAAAAAAAGATATTTCCTCCATCCTCTTGAAGCGGAGAAATTCTATTTGGTTGATCTTAAATAGATAATGTCAGGTTTTCTCTTTGTTATGGTCTTAGTGACTGCCACATTTATCTTACATAAAACTTACTCTGTTAGGTGCATTAATTCTTTAAGGTAAAGAAATGATGCACCTAACTTCATCACCTTGAGAAAATTACATTAATCCTCAGTTAATTTGCTGCTATAGTAGAATGAATCATACAGTGTTAAATCATACATTTAAGAATCAAACCTTTTATTTCAACAACTCTCAATTAAAATTTCTCCTAAATTTTTCAAGTATTTCCCTGTATTATTAACCAGAAAGGGACGAATGTGCTCTCTTCCGGGTTCCTCAGAGACATCTTATAAATATTGCATGTTGCAGTGTGGCACAATTTGGTGACATCTCTGAGGCTGGTACCTCCTCCTTCACTAAATTCTCCCAGGTGCTTGTCCTTTAAGTTCAGTAATTGATTTTGCAGAGGTGGCTGTCATCTTGCAATGAGTCATCTTCAGGCAGGGCTCTCCATTCCCCTGACACTGAACTGCATTTAATGGACTGGTGTCTTCAGAAAGAACTGAGACTGGCAGCGGAGGCAAAATCTCCTAGCTGGCAAACCAGGAACCTTAAATTTAATTGCAAATCCTGTTCAGTAGATGTTGATTTAATAGCATGAGGATAGCTCTTCCATCCAGGCTTCTGGGATTCCATAAAGTAAACATCTCAAGCCACAGGGCGGCTCTGTGCTAGTTGACTTTGCCTTAGGCCAGGATTATATAACCTTGGCCTCCCGGACGTTTAGCCCAGGCTGTTCAGCACAGTGGCAATTTTCCTGTGCACTGTAGGATGTGACTGTAGAAATGTCCAACAAGCATCCCTGGCTTCTACCCAGTGGAGGCAGGGACACCCCCCACTCCTAGTAGTGACAGTCATAAATGATTCCAGACATTTCCAAACACCCCAGAGGGGCAGCATTGGACTCCTGTGAAGGACTTTAAAGTTCTGTATACTTCTGTTCTGGGTGTTTGAAGTTGTAGAAAACATGGCAGAAGTTAACTGGAATTAGTTGCATAATTCCCTGGAATTTTGTGAAACTTGAGAAAATTCATAAACCATCCACATTTCCACATTTTGCCAGGGCTAACTGAATTACACTGCTTTAAATATTTTGATAAATAATGTTTGTGGAGTGCAAACTCTGAGCTCACCTTATGTGCCAGACCCAGTTGTAAGCACAACCAACATCCTCAGGGAAAAATGATCATTGCTTCTATACTGACAGAGGGAGAAACCAAGGCACAAGCTGGGGCCCAGTGCCTGAGTCTGCATTTAAGTGGCCAAGTTAGGATTCCTGGCCGGCCAGGTAGTGGGCCCTCAGAGCCAGAGCTCTGTGTGATGGCTAATTTGAAGATGGCAGTATGGGTAGACTTATTCATGTGCCAACCAGGGGACAGGGCCGCACACATTTTTCACCTTTATGTCCCTGTTCCCTGGACCAATCATTGACATACGGTAGAGACCTAGTGAAGGTTTGCTTTGCTAAATGAATGGGACCATTCTAAACTGCAGTCTC